AATAAAGAAGGCCACTATATACTGGTTAGGGGAAAAATTCAAGAGGAAGAGGTAACACTCACAAATATATATGCATCATACACAGGAGCACCCAACTATATAAAGCAAATCTTAATGGACATGAAAAACCTGTGTGGTATCCAATACCACAATCTTAACAGGAGACCTTAACAACCCCTTATCCCAAAAAGATAGGTCAACCAGACAAAAAATTAGCAAAGAAATACAGAACTGAACCAGAACTTGAATCAAAACCTACTACAAAGCTACAGTAACCAAGAAAGGGTGGTACTGGCCTAATGATACACATAGATTAATGGAATAAATCAGAATTACAAAGCTGGAAATAAGCCCATACATTTGTGGTAAACTAATTTTTTACAAAGGTGCAAGACAATTGAATGCTATAAGAATAAACAGTTTTTCTGTAAATGACACTGGGAAAACTTAATAGACATAGTTTAAATATATTATAAAATTGGACCCCTACCTCATACCACATCAAAAAAAATCAGGTAAAAATGTACCATAAAAAAGAGAAAAGCAAAATATATTCATATGTTAAGATAGTTACACTACCAGTTTCTTAGTTCACTGAAAAGAAAGATTTGTGCTAAAAGTGTTTGGATAATTAAATGCTGATATCTTGTACTCTGAATAACTAACTTAAAGATAACAATACAAAATGTATTAACTAGTGTTATCCTCCTATTATTTGTTTTAAAATTTAGAGGTTTTTTTTCTCTTTAAAATTCAAAAATAAAAATGGATCAGAAACCTAAATATAAGAGCTAAGATTATAATATTCTTAGAAGAAAACACAGGTGTAAATCATCATGACCTTAGATTAAGCAATGGCCCTTAGATATGATATCAAAAGTATAAGCAACAACAACAAAAACAGATAAATTACACTTCATCAAAATTAAAAATATTCACATTTCAAAAGATACTATCAAGAAAGCTAGAAAATTCTAACATACAGATGGAAAAAATTTAAATCATATATTTGATGCAGAATTCTTTCAGGCAGATGCAGGGACTGGAGTTCAATCCCCTCCCTGCCGTGCTCTGCCATGCAGGTCCCAACCCCGGGGCACACTGACACAGCGAATGAGACTGGGCATGGTAGTGCGCACCTGTAATCCCAGCACTTCGGAAGCTAAAAACAGGAGGATCACTGAGTCCAATCTGTGTAGTGAGACCCTGTAGACCGTGCACTAAATACATTAAAAAAAAAAAAAAGAATTCTTTCAATTCAACAATAGAAAGACATGCCAGCTTTTAAATTGGTAAAGGATTTGAATAGATATTTCTCCAGAGAACATAAACAAATGGTTGGAAACAGAGAGATAACTACTATCATTAGTCATTAGGGAAATGCAAATCAAAACTACAGTGAGTCTATTCCACACAGACCAGGACAGCGATAATCACACCAGACAGAACCAATTGTTAAAAGGGTGCAGAGACGCGGGAACCCTCCCTCATACACTGCAGTAGAAATGTCAAATGGAGCTGCTGTGATCAAAATAGTTGTTGGTGTACAAAATAGTTAGGATAAGTTTACAGCTACTTTTGCTTAACTCAATGAGAAGAAAGAGGTGTACTAACAGTGTTTGGACAGAATATCCTGTCTGCTTCTTGTACTATGGGTAACCACTAAGAAGATAACAACGTACAGTGCATTGAGTATCAAAACTGTCCTATTAATCAGCTGTGAAACTGTCTCATTCATATTTATTTCTCAATTTAAAAAAATATTTAAAAAAATAGTTGTTGGTTTCCAAAAGAGGGAAACATAGAATTACCATGTAACTTAGCAATTCCACTCCTAGGAATATAACCAAGACAACTGAAAACATACATTCACAAAGAAAAATTTGTGCATAAATGTCTACAGCAGCGTTATTCCTAAAAGCCCCACAGTGAGAACAACCTGAATGTCCATCACCCCCAACATGGATAAACAAATGTGGTCTACCCATACAAAGACACTACAGCATGGTAACACAGGGGTATCTCTGATACAAGCTACATTATGAACGGGCCTTGAAAACACTATGCTAAGTGTAAGAAGTAGGATACAAAAGAACACACTGTATGATTCCATGTATACGAGATGCCTGGTGTAGGCAAATACAGGAATAGAAAATAAATTAGGGCTTGCCAGGGAATAGAGGGCAGGAGGAATGACTGAGAATTGGTATGAAGTTTCTTTTAGGGGTGAGAAAAGGGTTCTGGAAATGTACAGTGATTGCTGTGGGTTGAAGAGTGGCCCTACAAAGAAATGCTGGTGTCCCAATACCTAGAACCCTTATCTGAACTAGGATTTCCCCTAGAGTTTCTGGAGGTATGGCATTACCCATTTCAGACTTCTAACCTCCAAGCCTCCGAAAGAATACATTTCTCCTCGTTTAAGCCACCTGGATTATAGTAATGTGTCACACCACAGCAGCCCTAGGCAGCTAGTAACGGTGGTAATCGTTGCACCCATTTGTAAAGGACATTACAAATCACTGACTTAAATACATTAAAAGTAAGCTTCATGCTATGTGAGTAGTATCTCAAAAAAGCTAAAGAAAATGTGCACAAGGGCCAGCCAAATAGCTCAGTGGATTAAAGCGCCTGCAAGTAGGTGCAGGGGCCAGGGGTTCAATCCCTGGGCCTGCCGTGCTGGCCCCGCCCCTGGGGTGCACTGAGATGGTAACTGAGACTGGGCATGGTAGCATGCACCTGCAATCCCAGCTCTTGGGAGGCTGTAAATAGGCAGATCACTACCAATCCCATCTAGTAGTGAGACCCTGAACACCCTGTAGACCTTTCCCTAAAATATAGGAAAAAAAGAAAAGAAAAAGAAAAAAGAAAATGTGCACATACACAGTATCCATCTACCAAGATGCTCCTTTAACAGTACATCTAGGAAGCACTGACTTTATAGACTGAGATACACTGGTACCCAAAGCCCTTTCTCCTTTCTTCTGGACTCCAAGTGATGTGTCCACTGTCCCACAGCCATGAGGATGTATATTTTGTCATTGCCCACTCACCCGCAGTAGGGATGAAACTGTTTAGATCTACGCCCTTGGGCCTGCTGGGCTGGCACTCACTAGCAAGAGTGATAATTAGTAGTCTGTAGCTCTGTCGTTCATAGGGCATGCTTGGGACTCATCTTTCCCCCTTTCTGGATCACCAAATAGAGCTTTGAGTGAAAGATTAACTAGATAACTGGAAAAGGTAACTTCTAAGCCACCAGAAAAAAAAAAAAAAAAAAAAACAGCACAAAAAATGCTCAGCAGCTCAGGAACTCAGAGGGAGGATGCTGGGTTGGCCTGCACCCAGCCCCAGCAGTAGCAACCCCTGGTGCCTGGCACTGCTGCCAAGCTGGCCACGCTGATCCGGCGAAGCTCTTCAGGAGTCACTGCAACTCGTAGCAGCAGACAGGACAGACAGAGCACCTGCTGCCTCTGCAATCTACTGGTCTTTCCTGAGGAGCACTCTCCACACAAATGGGCCTGCCACAGCACTGGAAGAATCTTTTTTGTAAAAGAAAGCACAGGAAATTGTCACGTGGCAATGCGGGAAGTGGCACAGATTGCTGTGAGGGGGTCACTTAGACTTACTAGGGATTGCCAGGATTGTATGTGAGCTCACTTCTAAAACACGTGTGCAGCCAGAAGACAGCCAGGTATATCGTCCCTGCACTTCTGGACCTTACCTCCACACATCACTGCCTTTGGAAAACATGGAGGCACGGATGACTTCAGGGGCCATCCAAGCATAGGTCCCTGCAGCGCTCATCTTGGTGGTTCGGTGCCATTCCCGAGCCAGGCCAAAATCAGTGATCTTCAGAATCTTGTTGCTCAGGTCTCCATTCTCCACCTTCTGCAGGATCAATACTGGGCAAGGAAAAGAATGCAGAAGAAACCAGAGTCTGCATTAATCACAGGGACACCATAAGCACAGAGCCTTCCTACCATTGTCCTCACCTCTCCTACAGGCTTCCACAGCTGTCATCATGGAATGATGGTAAAAGCCATTGTTTCTCAAACACCTTCAAAGTATTGCCTCTGATACAACCAACAACCTTACAAGGTACCTACTACAGGCTGAGCAACCCTAGCCCAAAAATAATTTTAAAGTAATCAACCAGGGGACTTGTGGGTTAGCTCCCGCCCCCCGGGAGATGCTGAGATGGCGATTGAGACCAGGCGTGGTGGCGTGTGCCTGTAATCCCAGCACTTAAGAAGCTGTAAATGGGAGGATTACTACGAGTCTGATCTATGCAGTGAGATCCTGTAGACCCTGTCCTAAATACAAAAAAAAAAAAAAAAAAAAAAAGTAATCAACCAGTAAAGTCTATGCAAATGTTTCCAAATCTGAAAGCAATCCAAAATCTGAAACATTTCATGTCCCAAGTTCTAAAGAATAATGGATATTCAGCTTATCCTGCCATCTTAGCTTTACAAATGCAGAAACTATGAGAAAGCACTATAAAACAGATTCCCAAAGTCACTCAACTAAGATGTGAGGGCTGAATCCCAGGCAGCCTTACACGCGACACACGCCAGGAAGGAGGGGCTGGCGCACTGCAGCAAGCATGCTCTGGGCTCTACCTAGCGCCCAACAGTAACAACAAAGCACTAGCGCCCAGGAGCCCCCGAGCAGCAGCAGAGGCAGCCACTGTGCTCCTGTGGCAGTTCCCAGGACAAATGTGCTCTTCTGGGAGCCAGTCTCGTTAAAAAGACCCACACCAAGAATTACTGAAGTGCTCTAAAGTAGCCAAGAAACTGCGCAGGCAGCAAGTGAGCTCTGTGGGGACGCGGGAGCCGCGCCTCCATTTTCACAAGCAGGATGGTTCCAAAGGTTCTGTGCAAGCACAACGCCTTCTAGGCCTCGTACTGGTCACCTGGAATTTCAGAACTCTGTATGCAGGATTTCAGGGCAGAAAGGAAAGTTCCTTCCTCATCTCTGCTATTTCAAGTCCAAAGGCAAGAAGAGTAGCAAAGAAAATACTGAAGACAGAACGAGAAATAAATGCTAATACAGCCGCACCCAGGCGGCTTGAACCAGGGAAACTGAAGAAACTACTGGCGGGTCCTCAGCACCATACGGGCCAGGTTACCCAGAGCTCCGGCCAGCTCTCTCCTCCTTTCCTCCTTGGGGTCTCTATCTGCTAACAAACCTTTACTTTTTGGAGAAGTTTGCATTAAAAGATGTTCTTCCACATCTAAAGAAAGGACTCTGAGGGCGGTGCACTGGGGCGCTCACTCTGGGCCGGAGCAGGGGCAGGTGGCTCTGTGGCACATTCATACTGCTCTTTGCTGCCCCCAACTCCCACTGCAAAGTCCCCTGAGTTGTTACTCCCTGAAGGAACGTGAGCCAAAGCCCTCTGCGTCCCAGTGCTTCTCAGCGAAGAAGCAGTGCAGCAGGATCACTAGCAGCTACAGAGCTGGGGGCAGAAAAGAGCCACTCGCTGGCCCTCATGGACAAGCCTCTCTCCTCCACACCCTCCCCACCCTGATACCACCACCACACACACACACACACACACACACACACACACACACACCAGCCTCCAGCATCCTAGGGGGTGTAGGCCTTTGAATACTTACGCAAATTTTTAAGAAAAAAGGGCAAAACGAATTTGCTCTGTCTCATCTATTAACAAAAGTATTTCCACAGTCTTCTGGGGCAGAGATAACAGGAAGTGGACATTCACACAGCCAGGGAAGTGGTGCTGAGGAACCCCCCCCCCCACTTCAGTCAGAACTGCTGTTTCTCTGAGCATCCACGAGCAGAAAATTCCGAGTGAGTTCTTCCTTTCCATGCACTACAGCACGGTGGGGAAAAGGATAAAGGTTTATGAGATCAGCCTACAGGATGGCTTAAGAAGCTGCCTGCATGGGCTGTTCAGATAGTGGCGGCAGAGCGCAGGCCCTCCGGGGTCTCCCTCTCCCTGCGGCCGGGCACCCGCCTGCCCCAAGTGCCAGTCAAACACTTGCCACCAGTGCTCAGCCCCTCAGAGTGTCTGACTGAGGAATCCCTGGCCTAGGGGTCTCGCACTTGTGAAAAATGAGAGCCTGCAGTCAGGAACCAGCTAGAAAGTTCGACAAAGGGCCACAGACAACAGGGACCTGACACACTGGCACCTACAGAAGCTTTCCTTCTGTTTTGTAGGTTTCTTTTCTTTTATTGAGATAAAATCTGAATATTGTACAACTAACCATTTTAAAGTGAATGATTCAGAGGCCTTTAGTACTTTCACCAGCACCATGCCATCTCTGTCCAATTCCAAAACATCCTCCTCACCTCACACGAAGCCACACACATGAAGCAAGTCATCCCGATCTCTGCTAGCAACCACCAACCTGCTGAGTCCCTGTCGATTTACCTGCTCTTAACATTCATATAAATGGAATCACACATATGCTATACACTTGAGTGATCTCACTGAAATTTTTCAAGGTTTATCATTAGCGTTGCTTAGACTACTACCACGTCCCTTTTCTATGGCTGAATAATAATCCGCTGTGTGCGTATGCTACAGTTTATATATTTGCTGCTGACATTTGGGTTGCTTCTACTTTTCAGCTATTGTAAGCAGTGTTGTCATGAACATATGCATATTATTTTCACCTTACAGGGTATGTACCTAGGAATGGAACTCTCAGATCATACAGTTATTCTCTGAGGGACCACCAAACTGTTATCCACAGGAAAGAACAACTGTACACTTCCAAGAGCAGAATACGAGGGTTCCAGTTCCTTCACATGCTTAACAATATTTATTTCTACCACTGTCACTTCTTAGACGTGAAATACACTCATTTGTGGCTTAAGTTTACTTGTTTTTTTTTTTTTTTCCAGTACAAGGGATTGAACTCAGGACCTTGCACTTGCCCGACAGGCTCTTACGCTGCTGAGCTACCTCTCCCCAGGTCTGCACATTTTCCCTAACTAATGACACTGATCATCTTTCCACGTGCTCACTGGGCACTCACATATTTTTCTAAAGAAATGTCTATTCAATCTTTCACTGATTTTCTTAAGTGGGTAGTTTATTTTTATGTTGTACTATAAGAGTTACTTACATATTCTGGATACTGGATTTATCAAGTAGATAATGTGCAAATGTTTTTCCTATTAAATAGTCTGTCTCAAAAATAAATAAATAAATAAATAAATAGTCTGTCTTTTTGCATTCTTGATAATTCTTTTGGTGAACAAAGTTTTTAAGGTAGATGAAGTCCACTATTTTTTCTTCTGTTGTTCACGTCGTTGGTGTAAATCTAAGAAGTCCCTGCTATAATGACTGCCTGTGCCAACTTGGGTAAGAGAAGTTTAACTAAATTGGCTCAGCAGTTGCACACCCTCGCTACAGAAGGCCCACCCCAGGACAGCTTGCTGCGGGCACGGTACAAAGAGGAAACGAGGATGACCCCTTGTTTCTTCAGAGGCGCTCCAAGCCGGCCTTCAACTTGGACGGCATCTTCTGGCTTCCAGTGCAGACCCTCAGCCTTCAGGTGTGGACTCTTTAGCCTTCTACTGCAGACTCATCGGCCTCTAAATACGGACTCACACAGGACCTTGCAGTGAGTTCCAGACCTTTCACCTGGGTCCCTGGGATATTCTGTGTGCAGACAGACCGCACTATTCAAGCCAATCTTGTAAATTCTTATGTATTTGTACATCTTGTGTTATATCTGCTTCTGTAGTAAACACTGGCTGACACAACTGCTAAACCCAAGGTCATCAAGAGTTACCTCTATATGTTCTTCTAAGAGTTTGATGGTTTTTGCCCTTATACTTAGGTCACTAGTTCATTTCTAGTCAATTTTTGATATATCAAATTAAGATAGAAATCCAAATTCAATTTTCAACATATGGCTATTCACATGTCACAGCAACATGTATCAAAGAGGAAAGCTTTACAACAGAAGCAGCATGGATCCCAGTTCTCTCCCTTCATTCTTTCCTGAGTGGAGAGAAAGGTTATTTTCACAGAAGCTTTTGTATCTTTATCTCTGGAGTGAGGGCTGGGGAGATGGCTCAGTAG